GTAGAGAAGGGCTATGTTCGAGAATCACTTAGTCCATGTTCCGTACCTACTTTGCTTGTACCAAAGAAAGATGGTACCATGAGGATGTGTATGGACAGCCGTGCTATCAACAAAATAACAATTAAGTATCGATTTCCTATACCCGGACTTGATGATTTGCTTGATGAGTTGCATGGTGCTGCATTGTTTTCTAAAGTCGATTTGATTAGTGGTTATCACCAAATTAGAATGAAAGAGGGAGATGAATGGAAAACAACATTTAAAACTAAACAGGGGTTATATGAATGGATGGTAATGCTGTTTGGGTTATCTAATGCGCCTAGTACATTTATGAGGCTTATGAATCATGTTTTGAGGAAGTATATTGGGCTGTTTGTTGTAGTATATTTTGACGATATCCTAGTGTATAGCAAGACCTTTGATGATCATGTGAAGCATCTTAGAGTTGTGTTTGAAACTTTGCGAGATTCTAAGTTGTATGGGAAACTCACAAAGTGTTACTTCTGTAAAGAAAGTGTCGTGTTTCTTGGATATATTATCTCTAGCAAGGGAGTTAAGGTTGATGAGGAGAAAATTGAGGCAATTCGGGACTGGCCAAAACCTGCTAGTATCGCTGATGTGAGGAGTTTTCATGGTTTAGCTTCTTTCTACAGGCGATTTGTGAAAGATTTCAGCTCTATTGTTGCTCCTATAACAAAATGCTTGAAAAAAGGAAACGAGTTTAGATGGAGTGCAGATGCTCAGAAAGCTTTTGAGCTAATTAAAGAAAAGTTGTGTACTGCTCCAGTTTTAGCACTTCCAGACTTTGCTAAAACATTTGAAATAGAGTGTGATGCTTCCGGAGTTGGAATTGGGGCTGTTTTGATGCAAGAAAAGAGGCCGATTGCATTCTTAAGTGAAAAGTTAAATGGAGCACATTTGAACTACTCTATTTATGACAAGGAGTTCTATGCTTTGATTCGAGCTCTGGAGGTATGGCAGCACTACTTGTTGCCAAAAGAATTCGTTATTCATACTGATCATGAATCCTTGAAGTATCTTAAGGGGCAAAGCAAGCTGAATCGAAGACATGCTAAATGGGTGGAGTTTATGGAGTCATTTTCTTATGTCATAAAGTACAAGAAAGGGCAAGTTAATGTGGTTGCTGATGCTCTTTCTAGGAGGTATGCACTGATCTCTATGTTGAATGCAAGGCTGATGGGTTTTGAACAAGTGAAGGATCAATACGCTAATGATTCCTACTTTGCTAATGTGGTTACCGAATGTGCAAAGGGAGCTTGTGATGGGTTCTTTATGCATGAAGGTTACTTGTTCAAAATGGGCAGAATGTGTATTCCTTCAGGTTCATTACGGGAGTTGCTTGTGCGAGAGGCTCATGGTGGTGGTCTTAGTGGTCATTTTGGGGAGAAGAAGACTTATGAGTTGCTGAAAGAACATTTCTTTTGGCCTAGCATGTTACGGGATGTGCACAAGGTGATTGAGAGATGTGCTATTTGCAAGAAAGCTAAAGAGAATGCATATGGGCTGTATATGCCGTTGCCTATTCTAGAGCAACCATGGATGGATGTTAGCATGGACTTTGTACTGGGGTTACCGAGAACACAGCGTGGAAAGGATTCAATAATGGTTGTGGTTGATCGATTCTCCAAAATGTCCCATTTCATTCCTTGCAACAAAACTGACGATGCTGTACATGTAGCTGATTTGTTCTTTCAAGAGATTATTCGTTTGCATGGAGTTCCTAAAAGCATTGTCTCTAATCGTGATACAAAGTTCTTAAGCTACTTTTGGAAGACTCTTTGGAGGAAGCTAGGAACGAAGATACTTTTCAGTACGGCATGTCATCCACAAACTGATGGACAAACTGAGGTTCGATTACATATTGAGGAGAAAACAACAAAGTATGCTAAACAAGCTAACAAGGGGCGGAAAATGGTTAGGCTTGAACCTGGTGATCTTGTTTGGATTCATCTTAGTAAGGGCAGATTTCCAAGCAAACGCAAGTCCAAGTTGATGCCAAGAGCTGATGGTCCATTTCGGATTATAGAGAAGGTGAATGATAATGCGTATAAGGTAGATCTTCCTGGTGATTACAATGTATCAGCTACTTTTAATGTGAAAGACTTGACTCCATACTTGGATGATGATGACGATTATGATTTGAGGACAAATCATTATCAACCCGGGGCTGATGATGTGCATCATGGGAATGATAATCCATCTCGTAAAGGTAAATCAAATATGCAAGAGGATTCAGATGGTCCAATGACAAGAGCGAGAGCGAAACAACTACAAAGGACCTTGACGAGTCAGATTGGAATGATTGAAGCTGCGTCGGAGTTAAAATTTGGCAATCAGTTTCAAATTGGTTCAAGGGTGCTTATTTGCCTACAATTGGAGCTTAAAGATGGGAAGAGCCCTTAATGGTTCTTTTGATGCTGGACTACTTGAATTTGGGTTGATAATGCAAATAAGTTAAGAAATTGATGCTGTTTACGTCAGAACAGTAGATAAATTTGAACCCGAATTTGAAGTCATCCATTGCATGTGAAAACAAGACTAATCTAGGTGGATTTCAAGTTCAGAACGTGATCTTTCCAGATTGTCCAACCATGATTGCATTGGACTTTTGTGCAAGAAGTTATAGCCATTTTAAATTCGGTCTGTTTATGTTTCAATTAAAGTCAGAAAATGTGTGCTAGTGTAATTTGTCTGGTTACTTTGTCAAAGTCCAAGTTTTGGGCTTGATTTCTGTCATGTTGAATTTTCCTAAGTGTGGAGGGATGTTCCATTATAAATATGGCATCAGAATATGTAATAAACAACTTTTGGCCAATATTTGAACTTAATTCCGAGAATTAAGAGTTATTCTTCCAAATTGATTTGTGAAGAACCCTACCTGACTTATCACTCTTCAATCACAAAGAGTGTGGCGTCAAAATCCTAGATTGATCTTTGTAGCATCCAGATCGACTTATCAAAGTATCACTCTAGTTTATCCTCCATTTTATTTACCTTAAAAAATATTATAATCTAGCCTAAATACCAAAAGAAAGACAATACAACCAGACCCATCCTTCATCCATTTTCGTCAGATTCATTGTTGCTGATTTTTTGAATCATTCACTGCACAACACCTGAGCTTTGATATAATCATTCCATTAACACCATTTGGTCACTGCTACTAGTTAAGGTTGTGTTTGTTTACATTTCTTCAACAATTTCATGAATCTTGATTCACAAAGATCACAGTGCCTATTCCCTAGGGCAGATTGCTTGAGATGGTCAAGCCTTCATGGGCAACCATGGTTTGATAACGCATTTGTCTCCACAGTCCAACACCATTTATAGGATTCCAAGTTAATTTCTAATACAAGAAAAGAAGATACTAATATTATGGATGTGTTTTTGGGTATCATCATTTTTTAAATTGAGAAACAAAAAATGTTGTTTACGCTTAATAAAATAAATTAAAAAATTATTTAAACCAATAAATTCAAAAAAAATTATTAATACTTATTAAATACTAAATTAGAAAGCTAATCTTTCTAGTAAAAACAAAAGATAGATGAATGGAAATATTTAACCTCAACATTCTTTTATTTTATTTTATATGTTTTTATTTATTTTATCTTAAAGGTTATTTTTCATTGCCAAGAACAAATGATTTCATTTTTATAAATACATTATGTAAACATAATTTATTTATACAAAATATAAAAGCAAAAAATTAAATATAAATTACAATAATCTCTTTGAAGTATTATAAAATTAAAAACTAATTCAAAAATAACTACTATTTAAAAAATTATGAAATAAACAATTTAGAAAATATGAGAGTGTATTAATTAAAATTTAAATAAAAAAACTAACGCAAAGTGAAAAAATAAATAAATAAGAGGGAGGATATGTGCAAGGGATCCAAAAATTTTCAGAGTTCGAGTTTTAGGACCTAAAAAACCTCAATTTTCAATTTGTTTTCATTTGAAATCATATAAAAAAGAAAAAACCATAGAAACCTTAACAACCCCGTTTTCAACACCATAACAGCCTCTAATCTCTCAAAAAATAAAAATTAAATGAATATTAAAAAACTTTAAAGATCTCAATATACTTTTCCTAGCATAGTTAAAGAGCAACACCACTTTCATGAAATTTTTCTTGATGAGACAAACTCAATTACATTAAGATCAACATTTTCTGGTGGCCTTAATATAGATATTCAATCACTTCTCTTCAATATTTTATGGTGACTTTCTTTTTAATATCTAGAGACTGAATCATGAAAAAAAATAAAGCTTGAAATCAAAATATAAACTACTAAAACAACAATTACCAAACAATAATTGAATTGAAATTTTAGAGAGAAAATTTAAGTATTTTCTCATCATCTAAACAAGGTCTCTTTTTTTATTATTATTGTTAAATTTGGTTCTTCTTCTAGTTCCTTTTTCAAACTATAAATAAAGTTTAATTTTACAAGATCAATCTTTAATTTATCGACACTTTGTATATGCAAGAAAATGCAAGAATATCAACATATAAAACAATGCTAATGTAACTTGGATGAATAAAATTGCGATTAAAGAAGTCTATTGATCAAATTAATAAAAAAAAAAAAGCACTATTCACAGTGCAGTGAACAGTGCCTTCAAAGGCACCCCAGATGTTACAGTCCAACACCATTTAAGTTCTAATAAAACCTACATTTCAACGTGATAATTACTAAGAGTCTAGGACAATCTAGGAATGACTTCTTGTCATATAGCATATTGGTTGCAATCAATATCACTTCTTAGCAAAATTAAACTAGTGTATGTTTGATATTGTGGTGCAAATGCTTTTTAAAAGCCTTTTAATTAATATCAAAATAATATTTTTTTCAAATTTTAATTTTAATTTTTCATATCAGCACTACAAAATCATCTATAAACACCTAAAAAACATACTTTTTCAGTCAAAAAACAATTTGAAAAATAGGTTGTAATGCAAAAACAAACACTCATTAAGCTTGTACCTACTGTTTGGGCTACCATGTCAATCCCAAGTTGATGTTGTCTTGTCTTAGATGACGTCCCTTATTCCCCATCACTCTTCCATGTGGATTGGTAAGATATGTTTTTGGTTTACTACCAACATTCTTTACAATAATATTAGTTCATATTACTTGATAGAATTTCCTACACCTACCAAGTCTAGTTAACCAGCCTGCAAACTTATGGACATTTTGTGCATTAGCGCAACATACAAGATCATTTTCAGTCTATTCCAATGCCTTGGAAAACAAGAGATAAATGTTCACTTCCTACATCTTAACCTCTTATAAAACATGCTCCACTCAACCATTACTAAAGTTTCATTTTGCATAGTTTTAATCTTACAGCTCAAAATTCCTCGAATAGTGGTGACCAAAAAATCTCAGTTGCCCTAAATTGATGTCAGCTACGTCAAAATAATTATTTTTAACATGATGCGAACATTACTGTTGATAGCCCACATATTCTTCATAGAAAAACCAGAACAATGTGCTCTATGTGATTATTAGTTAAAAGTGCATTTTTATCATGGTTTTATATCATCATTTTGCACTTGAAATATCAATAACTCCTTAAATAAAATATGTTTTATAATAATGTATCTAATAATATAAGATACCTATAATTTATGGTAAATGTCTATTTTTAATGCAGACCTATCACATAAATGAAAGGATTGATTGATGACTTGAAGAACTTAAATTGCAAGGATAAAGAGATGGCCAAACATAGAAAAGAGATGTCGGTGCAATCCAAACCGGAACACTGTTCGGTAATTGGGTCATATCTAGAGCTATATATCTCAGATTTAGGTCAAATTTATATGGATGGAAAGGTAAGACATAGGCCTACAACTTTCATATGGAGCCCAAGATCTAAAAAGGCCATTATCAAGTCCAAATTGTAGCAACAACAAAGAAGCCCGAATCTGTCTTCCAGCCCGAGCACTGTTCGGTATTTTGGCCATATCTAGAGTTCTAGAAGTCCAAATGAGCTGAAGTTTTTACACAAGAAAGCTGAGACAATTGCCTACAACTTTCATGTTTACAACTGGCTCCAATTTTGACGTTATCAATGACGTTTTGGGCAGACAAGAGAAGATAAGGATTGTCACCAAGTCAAAAGTTGGTCACCCACTTATCAATTAGTCATCAAATCAATAGTTCCCATTTTTGGCCTATAAAAGGAGGCATTTGCCATGCATTTAGGCATCTTGATTTCCAGATCAAGATCATGCTCTTCCTTTCTCTCTTTGTATTTTTTATGCTTTGTTTTCATTAATATTAAGTTTATGCCTTTCATTTCCTTTCCTTTACTTAGTTAACTTTTATGTTCTTATTTTGTTTATCTATTTTGCTTTCTTTCATTATGTCTAGCTAAGTTAATTATGTCAAGGTGAAAAGGTTACACTAATGGTGTAAGAATAAGTATAATGTAAACTTAATATGGACTTTAATGTTTGATACTAACATGTTTTATATTTGTTATCTTGTTCACTCTTTAATACTTTGCTTGTTAAATGACTAATCTTGATTTATGTTGTATAACACTTGGTACAACAAATGCTTGGCACTTTCATAGCCCATAATGTATGGTATAACCGACACCTGAGCTATGAAAGGAACTTGATTTATTGTTAACATAAGTTATAATCATGAATGCTACATCAATCTTTTAGTCGTGTCATTATGAAAGGTAGAAACAAAAAAAAAAAACACTCTCAAAACCCAACAAATTAGGCCAAAGAAGAAAATAGGCTTACCTTCCAAAACATTTTCCCTTCAAGAAGGCAATAAGAAACTGCTCCAAAGTTTCTTGAATCCTTGCTTTTATATATGTTATCTCCCTCTACCCAAATATGGCCCTTAGGCACCTAAACAAAAAGAGCAAACCTTTTCATTTCCTAAGCTAACGATCAACAATCTTTAAAGCAAAATAGCAATAATCCAAAAATTCAGCAAGCAAAAAATCAACAATTACCTAACCAAATCACACCCATCAAAACCCATTAAGAAAAGCATCAAAATCAACAAAACAAAGCAGAATCACTAGAAAACCATCAACAAGAAGACATCACGCTTAACTTTAACAACACTAAAGGCAAAATCTTCAAAACCCAACAAAAAAAAAAACAAACACATACCACAATAGTCTTAGTTCTATCACTATTTTTAGGATCAACAACATAAGTAACAGAATCACCCTCAACACCTATAACTCTTTTAGTCACAATTTTTCTTGGCTCCACAGGTGATATAACAAGAACAATATCTCTAGAACCTACTTTGTCAAGCCTGTGTGAAATCTTCTCAACTAATGCCAAATCACCACTAATGCTAAAGGTGGGGAGCATACTTGGTCCATAGAGCTGCAACACCCCCCCATCAATCCTTAAATACTTAAAGAAACAGATAAAAAGCATTACTTCATGCTTATTTATACTTGCAGAAGCAATAGTGAAAACATAGGTTTTGGTGACATGGAGAAAGCAAAGAGCTTTGGCTACTAAGAAGGATCCGTTGAATGCTTCTTTTGCAATAATGGTCCATTCATTTAGATTTCTCAAGCTCATTTGTTTTTTTCTTTTTTCCTCTTCATCAAGATTGCTGGTTTTTATTTGAGACTTGAGAGGCGAGAAAGCTTGCTACTTTAAAATGAAATAAAGGAAGGCTAGAAATTTTTGCAAGTACAAGTTGGGCTAAAGGCCAAAGCAGACTAGAAGGTTGAATAGTGATGGGCTAACTCAGATATGTGGGAGAACGCAACTCAAGTGGGAGCAATCTTTAACGGGTCAGCTATAGGCCTGTTAATCATGTTTATATAATGTAGTGTGTTTTAAAAATATTTTTTTAATAAAAAATATATTTAAATCATATTTTTTTATATTTTTTCACATTGATACATTAAAACTATTAAAAAGATCTTAAAAAATATTAATTTAATATTTTTTAAATAAAAATTAATTTAATGACACTTTTCTCTCTCTTGGTGAAAATTATGTTGCATATAATTGAATTTTATCATTGAAGTTTTATACATCTAACTGTAACTTGGTATTGTTTACTTAACATATGACAACTTTCTCTAATTTTCAAAGAAACTCAAGCCCTAGTTTTGCACATAGTTATTAAACTTGGACCAGCCTAGTCAGTTGAGTTGGAAACCAGTTGACTTGGTGGATAAATTGGTCCTGGTTAGGAGAAAAACTGGTAAATGTAAAAAACTGGTAAGACCCAATCGACCCGATAAGTTGACCCATGGCCCGAGCAACCCAAATAAGATCCAGTGTTTGTAATGCATAAATTGTTGTTTGTAAAATCAAAACTCGATCCATGAACACTAATCAACCTAACATTTAAATCCATTGTTATATTAATGTTTTTAGGTATCCAATCTAAATAAGTTACAAAGATTGTTTCCTAATGAAAAACTAGCCAGATAATTCTCTAAAATATAATCCAAAAAAGATAAGGTTATAATCACATCTAATTTTTCAATAATTCAATAATCTAAGCATCTTTCACACAACAACAACAACACAAAAATTAACAGATCTGAGTCAAACTTGGGAAGGAAACACATAAAACCTAAATAACAACATCTATGAGTTATGATTGACTCAGGTTAGTACACTTGAGTCAAAACCAAATAGAATAGAGCAAATAAAATTTGAGCTATCAAATCTTTTGTTTACCCTGTGATTTGCATTGAAGACAAGAGTTGGAGAGAGGAGAAGGAGGGAAATGAAGGCGAGGAGAGGAAGGGATCGAGCAATGGTTGCTGAGGACATGGCGATTGTCGGTGAAGGTGGGATCTGATGGTCCTGATTCGATCAGTCAAATCAAATCAAATCGATTTTTTCTCATAAATCTTTTTTTCAAAAACAGATGAATTCTCTTATTTAGCTTTGAATTTTTATTTTTATTTTTTTCCTTTTAGATAGAAAGAGAGTAGGGGGAGTGAAGAGAGAGTGGGGGGGAGTGAAGAGATAGTAATGGGAGTGAAGGAGCTCGAGAGCTCGAGATTTAATATTTGCTACTAACTTGTTAACACTTTGTTATTGGTAAGTAAATGATTTATTTAATTATTCATGTCTAAAGCAATATGAATGAATATATATAATAAGTGTATATATTTTATTTTTTTATACGCCCAATCCATCATGTAGAATTAAAGTCAATAACTTGATTAATTGTCTAAGCTACGTTGCAGGGTTTTTATTTCAATAAATAATTATTTTAGTTTTTTATTCAAAAAAATTATAAATGCATAGTGTTTATTTTACAACATATAATAATAAGAAATAAACTAAAACAAAAGAGTTTTTTCACACTTGCAATGTAAAAAAGTTATAATTTTTAATGTAGAATAATTTTTTTTTGTTTAAGTACTTCAACTTAAAAGAATAATATAATATCTTTTTAAAATGAGATTTGAAGTGCTTATATATATATATGAGATAAAAAAAAATTAGTTTAAATACTTCAACTTAAAAATATAATATAATATCTTTTTAATATGGGATAAAATACCTTTTGAAATATTTTTTTAAACTTTATTATTTATAACATATATAGCCCTTTTTTTTCATATGAAATATGAAATTTTTATTTTTTTTAATTTTTTAGAGTTAACTTGAGTTGACTCATAAAACCTAGAATCCAGTTCTTTAACCGGATCGACCTCCGGGCCAGATTGGATAACTATGGTGTTGTGAAGAATAAGAATATCTCATTAACCATAGCCATTAGGCTTGCTTTGGTAACTTTACCACATGCTTAGCATTTCCTAAACATTAAGTGATGCAGCGAGTTAGAGATATTTCAGAATCTCCACTTAAACTGGACTTTTATCAGGGGCTTTTCATATGCAGACTCAGTATGGCCATATTTTTTAGCTAGCTTCTGTTTAGTCACCCTCACAATTGACAGTAGTAGACACCATTGATATGTTATTCAGGTTAAAGGGCTTCCAGCCTCACAATTAGCCAGGACAAGTATGAGTCGAGCGAACAAATCTGAATCCTTCTCTGAATCAAATCTAAATCTGTCCAACGATATCCTATTGTCTTTGCGCAAACTTTACTTTAAAGAACACCACCACATGTAATGAAATGTAGCAGCCATTCACATATTATAGTTGCATGAAAAAATACATGCAATATGAAACTTTGTTCCTCTCTTCACAACATGGAGTGCTTTATGCGTACAAAATCGCAGCATCATTGAGAAACCTGCACAGAGGAATTCAGTAATTTGATCCTGCCATTCAGAAAGCATTTCTCCTAGATCTTTGCATGGCCAAAAATTTCCATCATATATGTGGAAGCCTACACAAATTTGCTTGTTCATTTTACACGCCCTCAATAAAACTACTAAAGTAAATGAAATGGGAGAATCCATTCAGTTACCATGAGACAGCAATGTCTTTATCCAAGATACCGAAGCAGGACTCCATCATTTCCCAGAACAAATCCTTTCTTGTCATCGATAAACCTGCAGAAGAAAAGATCATAGGTACGAATAGTTTATGAGTTGACTGCCTCTGAGTGCAAAGTTAAACAGGTAAAAGCATTGGCCAGTAAAGTTCATTTTCTTCCTCAACAAGAAGGTGCATTTCAAATCAGAGTGAAAAATGAAATATGAAAGGAGTTGGGGTGCAATCCAAGACCACAAGAAGACATATACATTGCATTTGGAAACCTGCTAATCAATGTTGGATATTATCTATGCTAGCTGTTAATATAATGAGACTCACTTCACCGAGTAAAGATTTGCAGCAATATTATCAGCTGCTTTGTCACGGGTCCATGTTTTGCCACCATTGGTAGTTCTCAATAGAACCCCACTGCCCCCTGCTGCCCAAGCCTCTTCCTGCACAAAGAAACCATTTACATCATGAATGTAGAAACTTGGAAAGTTGAGAGACCCATAGAAAAACTTGACAGTGGAACAAAGTTGCATATGCAAGACACAAATCACTTGTCAGTAAATGCAGATGGATGCATATTCATGACACATAGGACAAGCATGGTTTTGTTGAGCGACACATGTTACAATGCAGAAGTTCTTGAAGTGAAGCCATTTATCAACACATCATCGTAATGGAACTAATTCTGTTGTGGTTATACCCTTGCATTAATCAGAAAACTGTTACCTTTGAACGGTACCCTACATCAAGAATGCCAAACCCCCTACTTTGCACTGGAATTTCTTCAAACTCCTCTGATATCTGAAACATCAAAAAGTAGCTGAACTTCAACACCAATACAGAAAAAAAATCTGGTCCTATTCTATAACAAATTAACCAATGCTTGTAAACTGACAGTAATCTACATCAAAAAAGATATGACATGAAAAGAGAAAACACGGATTATACAACTGGAAACACTATAAGGACATAAACAAACAAATAATTAAAGTAGACTGCAATGCAATAAAAATAGGTGAAAACAAAAAGACCAGTGATTATGAGACATTCACTTGTTATAATCCCTATGATAATCATATACATGTCCAGATGATGCTTTGTTTGTCTAGAATTTTATGTGTATTTAAAAGTCAAACTATATCAAGCAAATCCATTGAAAGCATCAAGTCTTCCTTAGTTCAAATTCACAGAGGTGTTTCTCGACTAATAAGAACTTCATCTAGTGGGATGTCAAGTCACTGTTGATATACTAGTTTGGAAGGGTGCAACAACTAATGTTGATATAAACTTACCATCTTATCATTATGTAACCAATTCACTGATTCAGGATCATCACATGCACAGAATAATAGTTTCTTCACATTCTTCTTATCAACTTACCCCAGTGCCTTTGCTAAGATAAAGCCCCCCTCCACGAACAAGAAGCCAGAGCCCACCATCCGCCCTCCATCCCATGTTTTGAATTCTTCTTGCAATTGCTCTGTTATGCGGCTGCCAGAATGCCTGAAAATATGGAAAGTAATGAATAGCAGTTAATAAAGTGTACATGCCTGTTAGCACTTATGCATATCTCTACACAAGCAAACACTAAAAAGGTTGAAGAGCGGGCATGCCTCATGAAGCCAATTAATAAGTTACAGATGTACGCATGCAAAAATCTAGACAGCAACAAGAAAATGAGCATGACCTGACCAGGCTCCCACGTCAGATAGAAGTTACCACGGCTTGAGACGGCAACATAGTTTCCATTTGGAGAGCGATTCACAGTATTAAAAGTCCCTGTATAGTAACTTGCACCACTAATACCGCTAGAAACTGTTCTGCAAAAGCAAGAAGCTATGTGAATATCTTGCCCGCTTGAAATTAAAAACTTGTGATCTAAAAGAATTCCGAGGATCTTGACTCCGTAGTGAATAGAGCTCTAAGCTTTTAAGAGAGGATGCAAAGTGGTTGTGTAACCATCTCAAACAAAAGGAAGATGGCCCATAAGATAGAAAGATATCCTTTGCTAGATCACATTTTCAGAATTGAACTGCTTTATCTACAAATCCAAATGTTTCCTACAGCAAAGAAAATACTCCACAGACTCTATATAGCACTATTTAGATTAACTTTTTATCTCAAGCAAACCAACCTGTTAAGAGTTGCCGAAACAGACTCCTGAACTGCAGCCCTCCAGTTATAACCCCTATTTGATGTGACATATATTGCACCTTCGTCTGTTACCATCTCCGCACTCTTTTCTCCAGTTGCCTTTATATAGACCTGCAAAATGTTGGAAGGGAATCAACAACTTTTCCCTATCCATACCCACACGGAACAACTAAAAAGGGGGTAAAATATCTGCAAAATTCAAGTTCCTTCATGAAACGATTCTCTTGTCTTTCATATCCCTTGAGAATTAACAGAAGTACTACAAATCCCAGCCACTAAAACATCACTAAATGATACTCACTACTGCAAGTACAAGCTTACCATATCACCAGGGAGTTGAGCACTTAGTGGTATTCTCTCCCATGTTTCTCCGGAATCTGCAGTGTACAGCAGAATTGCAGGCTTTCCAACAATCCATCCTTCCTTCCCCTTAAAACTAATAGAATTAAACCTATAGTTAAAATCCTCGTCTTCTGCCGAAGGTATTGACCGCTGGACCCAAGTATTTCCACCATCTTTAGTTTCCATGATTGTCTGCCTTGTCCCCAACAAGAAACCTACAAAACCAAAGAACCAGCCTTCAAGTTCTCAAGTACCAACAAAAATAAGTTAATTCAACCAAAATGATTCTACATAAGCGTAATTAACCCAGCTAATACCAAATGAAGTTCAGGCCAAAATCTTCAAAGCATTCATCTAATCTATATATCTACACACACGCCACCCCTCCCTCTCGCCAATATCCACAAAAGGTAATAATTATAATAGGAGGGAAACGAAAAAAAGGGATGTTATGCAATGTCAGAGACATTGTGTATACAGCAAGAGTAGTGAAAAATTTCTGTTGACGAACTTACTTACCATGGTTCGGGTCATCAGGAACAAAGGCAATGTCAAGGAGCACAACACCGGGATCAATGGGAAGGTAAACTCTTTCCCATTCGGAAAGAGAATCTTCAGCTGCAGCATTGGCTTGTTGGGGGTTAAGAATGAGAGGAGAAAGTAAAGGGAGTGCTGAAAGTGAAGCTGTTTGAGATATGAAATGCCTGCGGTTCAGTTCTGGTCTTTGTGATAAACGAGGTTGTTGAGAAGGAGAGTGAGAATTCTGTGGTCTCTGAAGACATCGTGTGTTGGTTGTGAATGTTGGAGAAGTGAGGGAGGCCATGGTTTCCTCTTTCCCTCTCTCTCTCTCTCTCTCTCTCTCTCTAAAGAACCAGAACTCAGAAGTACTTTCTCTGTCTCTGTCTCTGTCTCTGTCTCTCTCTCTCTCTTATCCAAATGGTGGTTATATCAGCGGCTACGCGGGCGTTTTCGGGCGTCAAATTCCCATGCCAAGTGGATATTCCCTTCTTGAAAGAGAGATAGTTTTGATAAAAAATCTACAATTATTTCTTTCAAAAACGACTTGTCAGCCATGCTCATGAAGCTTGAAATGGATTGATTACTTGGAAAGAACACGCAATTTTAGGCTGCGTGTAAATTGTATATATACCAACAGATCTATATTTCGTTATATTTTTCTTAAAAAATATGCCATGTAAGTTTACTTAAAAGAATAGTAAGAAATAGAATTGAAAGCCCAACTCATTTTATTACATTTTAAAAAATATAAACATTGTATGAATTAATAGTAAGAAATGTGTCAATCTGTTTTTTGAGGTAGGATTGGTTCATTTTTTTTCTAATAAAAACCTTTTGTTTTTGCTTAGAGGAATGGAATGATTTTGTTGTTTTCTTGATGCACGACAATTTAGTTGCAATGTAGATAGTCATTAATGTTTTTTTCTCAATCTTTATAATGTTAACAATTGTTTATAGCCAGGGATAGTTAGGTTTTAGATGTTTTCTTTATCGAGCTTATAAAAAAGTGTTTTTATTATAGATTATTTTTTATTATTTTACTTTGTATAAATCTAAATAGCAAACAATCTCAACATATCAAATTATATAAATGTAAGAAATAATTCTGAGAACAAATATAAATACAAGTCATAATTTACAGAGAACAGGTATATAAATACGAGGCAAGTCAAATGTCAACTATCTACAGTATGATCTTGAATCTTTTGCAAACCAATCACCTTTTCTTTTATCATGCACTTTGTGCTGATGTAAAAGGGAAATAATTTAGAAAAAAAATGCAAATAAATTTGTGCCTCCTGATGTCTGTAATATACCTAGGAGTCTTGGAAACATGGGAGGAAGCGGAGGAAGCTCTTACGGATGCATTGAAATTCTTCTTCATGACTGTTTGCCATTCCTCTACAGTCTGCAATTTGCCAACTCAAGGTTTTCTAGAGAACCAAGTTTTTATTCCAGAATCTTAATGAATTTGCAGTTAATCTACTCATCACGGGAGCAAGAGGCAGTAGCAAGCATACTCATAAAAGGGTTGAAAACATCTCATGCAAATCTTAAAGATTTAGGGTCAGGGATCTAGAAAAGGGAAGAGAAAGTTTAGAGTGGTAGTAGCTAGAGTTTTTCTTTTTTCTAATGTAATGGCAAAGTTGTAATATGTGATATAAGGGCTCTTGAAAAATTAAATGAAAAATGATGGCTATGTAAAAAAATCAATCAAATATCTTCTTTTTTTTAAGGATTTTAAGTGGTATTGCGCGTATAAAATTAAGAATATAAAATATAATTTTTCAAAACACAATAAAAATATAAAAACACTATAGTAGTTTTTTGAAAAATAAATTAGTTATTTTTCATTTTATTCCATCCCAACCTCCAAGTTGCAAAACACCTCAAAATTTTGGAAAACTTTGGTTACTTTGGTTTTTGTTTTCATTTTCAAAATCTTTAAATAAGGCTTGAAGAAATAGAAATAATTTACTTTGTTTTTTCCTACGTGTAAGAAAAATGCTACGATGATGTTAGTGTTCCTAAAATAACAAAAATAAATATAATATATAGATCATAAATTTGACTAGTTTTAATAAGTTTAACTAATTTAAATAATAAAAATAAATAAATACAATAACAATAAATAAACTAACAAAAATAATGGACAATGTACAAATCAACATGAAGCTCATTGAAAGAAAAATAAATAAAACTATAAAATTTAATTATCAAACAACTTAAAATTAAAAGGTAAAACTAAAAAAAGAAACAAAGATAAAAAAATCCAAGTCATTCTAGGCTTACATGCTCCCTAGGCTCAAGAATAGGATAAACTTATATAAGAAAAGGTGAAAAACAAAAATTACAAAGACCAATTCAATAAATCAGATACTAAAAAAAATTGAAAAACAAATTAATTTTAAAAAATAACCGAAAAACCACCAAAGTCTATTTATGTTAAATAACCCTGGTGATGAGCTTGGGATCAATTTCATAAAAGAAAAATCATGAAAAATAACACGATAAAATTCTAAATCGATAAAATATTGAGGAATAAAATTAAAAAAAATACAATAAAAAAAGGTTTCAAAATAAAAAAAAAATGAGGCTAAACTTGATATAAAAACAATTTGATATCAAATATCGAGAGATGAAATTAAAAACAAAATTCAATTAGAAAAATAAAAGAAAATAAACAAATAACAGTCAAATAAATAAAGATCAAATTTGATATAAAAAGTAAATGAAACCAAATAACGAGGGATGCAATTAAAGAAAATATTCTATGAAAAAAATTAAAAAAATAAATAGCAATCAGTAAAATAAAATAATGACTATCAAATTAAATACAAAAATAAAAAGAAAAAAAACATTTATATTTTTGCAAGGAAAAAGAGAGAGAAGATAGAGAAGAAAAGAAAAATTTATTACAGTCCAACCACTCTTCCGTTGTATACACATGCAGCACCAATTAAAAGATCATGGTGAGATATTTTGAACACCGCCCTAGAAGATGATGTTTTAATATGCAATGAAATCACATGCATTGCTTAAATGATATAAGCATTGCTCACTTATTGACACGTGCATACTAATAATTTATTTTTAAAATAATATTTATGTTTGTCAAAAAACCAAGTCAATCTCATTCAACTTGTTAATAGCTAAAAGCTCCTACTTACCAGGTTGACAAATCTTGTTTTTAAAGGTAATATAATCTTTATACTATACTTTTAAAAGGTAAAAAGATAAAAAAATTTCTTATAAATCTTTTAATAAAATTTACTTATAATGGTAATATAGTATTTACATTACACATATAAAAGATTAAAATACAAAATTGTTTTCGATTAACCCTTTTAAAAAATATATTTTTAAAAATAATATAGTTTTTACACTGCATATTAAAAGAAATTATATTGCTCCTAATAACAAATTTACTGGTTTTTTTATTGAAAGGACAAAATAGCGGTTATATTGTTATGGTGAATAGTAATATGTATCTAGGAATACAGGAATTTTCAATGCCCATCAAATCAACCTTCTTTGTGGTTCATTAGCCTCTTCTTCCGTTTTTTTCACCTCCCGTTGGAGAATTTTCTTTTTGCAGTTAATGTAAAATTTACTATTTTGTACCTGATTGAGTTTATAGTAAATATTTTATTTTAAAATAATTTTTTCAAAAAATACAGTAAAAAAATATTTTTTTAATTTTTAAAATTTATTTTTAATATTAACATGCAAAAATATAAATATATATATATATATATATAGTGCCTCCAAATGTCCTCGTCGACTGCTAATTAAAGAGGCCGTCATGGACTAAAAATCCAAACAAGTCAAACTTCTTTGCAGAACCAGCCCATTTTTTGGCCCACCTGTCCCCAGCCTCGAAAACTCTTCGGAGTTCCGTTTCAAATGGTGAATGAATTTGTTGCATGTAAGAGTGGATGGTTAGCTAAGAACTAGTCTTGTTGTTTGTGCTTCCGTAGGATTGACTTATTTTATTATAAAAATTAATATTTAGGTGTTGATACGGGGTAAAAAAATAACATAAAATCAGCTAATATTGGAAATCCTACTAAATTTGCAGCTCAAATTATAATATTTGAATGACGCATTAAGAGGATTCTAAAGTTTTTTAAAAACAACATGTTAATTTTTCAAACATGTAATTTGAGTTATTAGACTAGAAACACCTAATATAAAAAAAAACCATGAAATTCAACTCTCAATCAATCAAATATTAAAGGATAAAAATAAAAATAAAATCTAAATTATACAAAATAATTTAAAAAATATTAATTAAAAGAATAAAAATCAAAATTTTAAAAAAAATTAATTGTTTTAAGGGTGAAGTTGAAAAGAAAAAATAATTTAACAAATAAAATAAAATTTAAAAGAATAAGGATCAAAATTGACATGAAAAATAAAAATAATGTTTTGATTGAAAGAATAATAAATTTTACAAAAGAGTCAAGAGAAAAATTAAACATCAAAACAATGAGGTTCAAATTAAAAAGTATAATATTATCAATTTGAATTGAAGGATAAATTTGAAAATCAATAAAATTTACAAAAAAACCAAGGAAAAAAATTAGAGATCAAAAGAATAAGAATCAAATTAAAAAATATAATATTTGGTGAATTAGAATTGAATGATAAAATTAAAAATAAATAAAACTTCTACAAAAAAATGAAGATAAAAAATTAAAAATTAAAAAGAACTAAAATTAAAATACCAATAACAAAGAGAGTCAAGTTGTACTATTCAGGGAAAAAAGATGAAAAAAAAAAAACTTATCGTCAATAAACCAAATCACCACTAGTGACACGCACCATACTAACATGAAGAAGACACAATAACGCTTCCAACAACAAGACGAAAAGATATTTTTAGATGTTAGGAGTCTCACACTCCCCTCTAAAGGACGAGAGCACCTCCCACATACTCACTCTTTGTTTTTTATTTATTTAAAGATAAAATTGCTTCCTTGTTGACTTTATAATTATAAAAAACCAAAAACACTTGATTTCAAGAATAATTTTAATAATATTTTTATAGTTTCAATGCATATTTTAATTGTTTATTATTTTTTTACATTTGATCAAATATCAAAATAGTCATCAACTTAAATTATAATGACAAAAATACTATCATAAAAATATAAAAATACCCTTTAAGTTTAAATTTTTAACTTCCAATGATATTTTGATTATATAACCATGTAATTAATATGAAAAATGATAGATAGACTAAGTAGAAAGATTTGTATGCCCTTGTGAATGTTTTTTTATTATTTTTTTTAGGGGAGAAAAAGCATTACAATGTTCTGGTAAACCGTGTAAATGTCACTACTGTTTTTGGAATGGCA